AGAAAGAAAGGTGCACTACGAAGTGAGTACATAGTACTGCTGGTGGTTGAAGTTTATCCAGATTTATGGCCTATGCTACACAACGACAAGAACAAGGATTCCGAGGTTGTGAGATTGTGTCGAGCTTGGGGGCAGTAAATAAGCCAAGCATAACTTCCCCCAAAAAGAGAAGAAAATGTAATTGAAACCAATATCCTATCGATATCAAGAAACGGACTGCACATGTTGTACGTACCAGGTCTATAAGTACGTGTGGGCTAAGAAATAATAAGAATTCGGAACGAAGGTTGGTCACAGAAAAGAAACTGAATTACGACATTTTTGGAGAAAGCTGGGTCGTCTTAATGCTTGTTGCGTGACTGGTGTGGGCAACGTGGCAATCGACAGCTTTGCAACTACTCGTAATTTTGAGGGGTGTCTTGATTGGTTATTTTGTGACATAAAAATGTCACATGATTAAATGTCGTGCTGGGCTGTGAGGTTCCACAGTGAGTGCTGACCCTTTCCTCTTCAATCCATCCACAAAAGTTAATATTCTCGTTTGGTCGTTTTCAAAACGGACAACATGTCAGTCACAGATTTTCCCCTTTCATTTGGAGGTGAAAGTAATGTCGAGAAAGCCACCAACTTTTTGTAATACAACTTGTTTTCATGTGATCATCGCGTTAAATATTTCAAAATTACAAACACAACATTTCACACCCCATTGACTCTTGCTCCACAATATTTCTTTGGAGAAAGTGGCGTTATGATGTCATATTGGCAAAAGTAAGTACTTGTGTATGAATAACGTGCGGCTTAACCTCTGCCTTTCAAGGAAACTGCGCTGCACGAACATATACGAGCCCATAGTTTTCCCCCTTATTTAGAAGTATCAAGCACTAAAATATGAACTTGAATTCTGTCTGCTTCTCCGTCCGCATATCATTACTGAGGAGAGAAAGCTACACAAACCATAAACAGAGATCGTCTAAGAACATGCAACCCTGAATTATTCATGGTTTCAGTAGCAGTGAACGTAAAGAAACCACAACGTTTTCACGGACGAAGGAAGAAATTAAATCCGGGTTCCCCCACAGACAAGAAAGCCAAACCGCACCTCGAGAGTCGCGACATGTTTTTGGTTCACAATTTCGTAAAGCAGTTAGGACACTCGTGCCCTATGAAAAGCACATTATGGAAAAGAATTGGAGTTCGGTTCACAAAAAATGGGGAAGAAATTCTAAAATTACTGACCCAAAGCAATCATCGCCGTTTACTTTACGAGGAGAGAAAGTCCGTAATTGGAGGTAAATTGCAACTCTGACACGGAATGCCGTGCTGACCCCTCAATTACACATCTTGTGGGCATGGACGAACGACGACATTTTACTTTATGTTTATGGGGTTGAAGAATGTTTTTCCGTGTCGGTGGGTGAAATCTCACGTTACTTTCACTTTGTCTGTGGGAATTAGTGGGGAGTGTGGAGAATGTGGCTGGTCGGAATTACTTGTTTTACGGCGAGGTCGTCCGTACTTTGGATGGCTTAATCTCACATGGGCTTCATGGTGACGATGAGATGATTATTCGCCGTGTCGGGAATAGGAGATGAGAAATAAGGAAATACTCTTAAATCCTATTCGGTGTGCGTGTGATGGGATTAAACCGATCTCGTGCTGTTGAAGAACCATTTTACTAATAACTTGCAGCAGGGTTCGGAAAACCCCGGGGTTTTTCTAGAAAAACCCAACCCCGCGGGTTTTTCCGGGGTTTTTGGGGTTTTTGTGGGTTTTTGGGTTTTTGTGGGTTTTTGTAGATTTTGGGGCAGGTTGAACCAAAATTCTTTAAATTATATATTAGATAAAAAGTAATTTAATATACGATTTTGACATGCAATTCTAAGCGTTATCATTGAGTTGGACTGTTAAATCGAAAATTCATATTTCGCATGCAAACTTGGAAATATGCAATAAAACTTGGAAATTCAAGTCGCAAATGAAAATTCTCAAAATTTCATGATGAATCCGTCAATTTAATTAGCATTGATTTAAGTTGTAGTTTAAGGGATTTTGTTTCAATCTGTCCCAAAATCTTACAAAAACCCCGGAAAAACCCACAAAAACCCACAAAAACCCGCAAAAACCCCATTAAGCATTAGGGTTTTTCCGGAGATTTGATACCCCAACAACCCACAAAAATCACAAAAACCCCAACCCACAAAAACCCGGGGTAGCGAACCCTGCTTGCAGGTCAATTACAATAACCACAAATTTGGATACGTTTAGTTGTAGGTGTAGGATTTGACCGAATAATTTAAAAACTCAAATTTCTCCCACATTATTCTAAATATTAATAAAAATTTAAAAAACAAAATAATTTGGGAAGTAAAATATCAGTTGCCCAAAGCTTTCAAAAATGTGTCCCCTTTTCAAAGAGGAGTTAGGACGCCTGATTTTATTGATAGTCTTCCAGCCTACAGCCTGTGAAGCTTTGTACAAATTTGTAGATTGTCGTCTCTTGAGTACAGTTTCTCACGCTACATGATCACGTTGGGACGAAAAGCGTGACACTCGTGTCCCACAACATTTTCTACTTTCCTTTCCTTCTTAAGCTTCTCTCTTCTCTTGCACCTAAGTTCTAAAATCTACAGGACTCCCTCACCTTCGAGTTTACTACGCTTGTCCTTCGGGTCACAATATACAAGATCCTTGACAAGACGTGAGCTACATGCTTTCTCCGACGAAGTTATTCTTTCACCTTCTCCACCGCCCCCAGCTGCCAATTCCACTTAAGAGATGAGAGTGCAGAGAGGAACGGACGACCACATCCCGATGGGATTTGACCTCCATAAATAACTGTCATCTCTGAAGATCTTCTTCCGTCAAAGATTCCCGAAAGATGGAATATCCATCGTCATCTGTCCCCCCCAAATGTCATAATTCATTCATAAATGTCGCCACAATTTATTGAAATCTTTCATTTGAAGCGCACATCAAATATGAAAGTTATGCTGCATATGAGAAGTCGCTTATGAGTATAATATTAAGTGATTATTACACTGATTTGATTTCATCGACTACTTTCACCGCGCGACATAGATAAATATGCACAACTTACTTTCCCACAACACACTCAAACTCAATTTTCCTCTTCTTCTAATTTACACTTGTTCCCACAAAATCTCGACAATCTTGCGAGTGTCGAAAGTGGAACTATTAATCCCGAGAGCTTAAGATTTAATTTTGCGTTTCTCTCCTGTCGACTGCACGTTTTTGGTAGAATGTTGGTCTCTTGGTTGGAAAATTAATTATTAAAATTAATCCAAAATACGCAGAGAGCAGAAGAGCGGGGTGTTGGCAAGCATTCTGATAATTATCCTTCTTCTCCTGCTTGCTCTTGGTTGGTGTTGTACTTAACTGCATCTCCTTGAGCACGACGGGAGGGAAATCCTAATTTAGTGCGAGAATCTGCAGGAGAAAGCTATGCAGTTGATTCTTCCAACTTTCTCCAAAATACTGCCACCCCCATAAATACATAACCATACATAGTGCTAGTTGGTCGGAATTATTAGAATTCTGATAGATTTTAAATCAAAATTCCCCATGGTGCTCAAGAATTTAATTTAACCAGTCATAAATTTCACGCAGTCCTTTCTCTTAAAATGCTTCTGTTTTCTTGGCATTCTTCGCTTTGTTAAGATTTCAGCGAAAATAAAGAGGGCACATTTTACGAACCCGCCTCCACAGTCAGTTTCAACTAACAAGATAATCCAATTATACTTAAAGAAAGAAGAGAGAAAGGAAGTTAATTAGGTTACACTCGTCTCCAGAGTGCGTATTTGGCAAGTTAGCCTTGTTTGAAACGCAGGGAGAAAACAAAGGGAATTAAGGAAGCCTGCGGGTGAGAAGTGAGACAGAAATCCAAACCTTCCATCCGTCAATTAGATATCTCTTGTACTGGAATTACTGCTGTTGTTTGTGATGTTGGTTGCAAAGTACGTGGCATCAAATGTACAGTAGAAGAATGGATATACGAATGTATGAAGCTACAAAATGCATTTCATATCAGATTTCTATTATGAAATGTACGGATTCAAAACCTGGAAATTAAAAAAGTTTGTGTGAAAGTTCATTGAGCTCAATATTTGAATACATACATCTGTACTTACATACGCATATGCACCATTTAAAGAAGTAAACCAAGTGAAAAAATTATTTAATTCCTTGTGCAACTTTGAACCAATTTTGTACAAAATTAAACGTTGGCAATGCATTAATATTTTAGCCCCGTTTCATTTATGCGTTGGATTAAGGTACTTGACCTTCGAAGAATACAAAACATCCCACATTTGTGACGTCACTTTCCATAACTAAAGTTTGCACCCTAACAAACTTTATACACAACTTTACACTTTAGTGCAACTTACTTCCCCAGTTTTAGTTTTAGCTGCAAAGTTCGGCAGGCGGGGGAGGAAACTTGGGGATGAAACTAAAGTTGTCAAGTGTATATTTGTGCTTCCCTGGTTAACGTGAAAGTATGAGGGGTGGATGTTGATTGTGCTGTATTACACGATATTAGTTCAATTCTAGAGCAAAGTAAAACAAGGGTGAACTTTCCTCTCCCTTTACGTTACATATATTATTAGAATAAAACGAAAGTGGGACAAACTAAGCGAAATTATTAGACCTAGACAAAATTAATAAATATTTTCTGGCAAACTTCCGAAATTTTCATAAATGGTTTGGGTAAAAAATATGTTATTAAAATTGAGGATACATTAATTGCCTTAACAAAATAAAATGATATAAAACTACCCTGTCTCTCCTTCCCCTTGCTAAGAATTTCCTCATTCAGGTTTAGTTTGCAGCTAGCCACACGTTTTGAGACTGGTGAAAGCTCACCCCAACTTTTCCCCACGCGACGTGCTGCGCTGACTACGCCGGCCTCTCGTTACCCCCCAGCTCGACTTTCGAGAGGGGAAAAAGTAGGACAGCTTCAGTTATAACACGTCTTTCTCCGAGAGAACTGCTCAGTCAGGACACACGTTTTGGCCAAGCAGGCAATAGTGAATATAAAGCGTTGTATGTGAAAAGCGGGTGAAAATGAGATTTTTCTCTCAATACAGTGAATTTCATTTCCAAGTTGTTCATAATTATTGTAACATTTTCGAGTGATAGCCCCATGAAAAATTGCGTTTGTTAAGTTTTTATAGCGCAAGTGATCAACAATTTCAAGCGATAGACAATCACACGAGGCGTCACTGGTCCTGCAACTACATATACATATTTGTAAAGGTAATATGCATACATGAGTAATGCATATGTCGTGGGTGTCCTAATATTTCCGAAAATGAAATACTGTTAATTCCAAGTAATTCAATTTGACAAAACAGAACCCTTTTATGTATTTTACCTTCTTTAAGTTCCTATCCTTAAGTAAATAGGAAAATTAGCTAAACTTTATGAATTAGCATTGTTGTGGTAATCAACAAAGCAAATTATGGCTGCGAAATAATCATCAAAAAAGTTGAGTTTGATGTTGGATATAAGAGAGAATCTGTCTGGGAGTATAATGGTGAAAGAAATTTCAAAATCGGAGTGAAATTGGATTTTTGGCGTGGGTTTAAACGACTGAAAGCTGGAGTGAAAGCGATTTTTGGGCACCTTTGAGTGGGTGTGGCGGGCGCAAATGTGGCCATGGAATCAAACCACTTCAGGGTTGTTGTACATTCATGGGACACTACAACATATCCAAAGGGCATCGAGATCCGGGAGTTGATAGTACACAACCTCCCCTCCTGAGATTAATAATTAAAATTAACCACTTGTTAATAACCAGTGGTTATTCAAGCGAGTGCATGTTTTAGAGCGAAATTGTCCATGGATTCTACTAAATAAGGAGTGTAATTAATTAGTTGATAACAAAATTATTGCTCGAACGCATGGAGATTGGATTATGCCTGGCAAACACCTCAATTTCCCTACTAATTAGTAATTAGTGGGGAAATTGACGTGTTTGCTCATGGTTTACATGTTTGGTATGATTTAAAACCCGAAAGGAAAATTTATATTAATAAATACATGTAGTATCAAACCTAAGATTAATTTGTCAAGATCACGGGAAGGTCATTGTCAAAACAAACTGAATAACATAAATCTAATAAAAATATGAATTAAGATTTAAAGGAGTAATTGTGTGTAAGCGAATCACAAACAACTAAACCTGTGCATTTCAATTTTTATAATTTATAGATTAGCCGATAAATTGGAATCAGCATGACGATTTCCACGGAGAAAGCTGGATCTGACCAGTGGGACGCTTGGTTGTTGGAGGCCGTTCGGAAAATACGCGCCCAAAAACAACGCCCTGACGCAAACAGAATTTACAACGCTGTTCGTTTCCTTGCTGAAAAATCTGCTCAAAATCCATCCTCGTCTACATCACAATCAGTCAAATTCGAACCTATTCACATGGTCCTCGTCCAGCGAAATTTGGACCGTGCGGTGCGAGAACGGCTTCTTCTCAAAGTGATCAGCAAGGGTCAGACGACTTATAAACCGCCCGATAAATGTACCGATCGGGTCATGAATTTAGGAATCAGTTCGGATGAAGAGGTAATTACACAGAAATGTTTTTTGGTTAGAGATTTATATTAATTTCGATTAGGGTTTAAAAACCTTTGTCTCAATTTGCCCCGTAAAGAATTTGGAAATATGCCAATTATCTCTTATGTTTTCCAGATTTCGAAATGCTTCATAAAAGTGCTCCGAGAACTGAGCGAGCCCGACCCCACTATTCGCCAGCAACCTTATTCCGCCCCACTCTTGAAAAAGCCCCCCTCGGGTTTCACCCTCGACCAGATAATCGACTACCTGACACAGTCCCACGTTCTCATCCTCCCACCTGGCGAACAGGACGACTCTCCAGCCGCCTTTCTCCACGAGAAACTGAGCGTCCTCCTGGAAAAAGAAATCCTCTGTCGCGGAAGGGTCGAGGTAATCGATGGAATTTACTACAAAATTAAGGAGAAAGTAGGTTCCGGATTAAGAAGTGCACAACCACCGGAAGTCAAGGTTACTCTAACAGATAAGTCAAGGCTGCTTGAAAGTGAGGACACAGTGAAACGAATCGTTGATGAAAGCGTGTCAGGTTTATTACAAAGAGCAGCAAAGGACGGTTCCACGGTGACTTTCACTCTGACTTACACAATGTCCTCTCCAACGGAAACTAACGCAAATTCCACAATCTCCACCAATATTAAAGAAAAAAGAATACGAAAGCGTTCACTTTCACCCGTTTCGAGCTCAGAAAGTAGTGCGTCTTCAATTTCTTCGTCTTCATCAAGAAGGTCGCGTGTCAAAGGAGGAAAAATTAAGGTGCCAAAAAAAAGATGGACACCACCTATGAATGAAAGTTCGCTTGTGCTAGGAGTGAAAAGACGATCACTTTCCCCAATTTCCGGTTCCGAGAGCAGTTGCTCATTCACTTCATCAAAATCGCAAAGAGGGAGAGTAAGTGTGGGACGAGAAAAGACTCAAGTTCCAAGTGTAAAAACACCTCGTGATGCAAATACGACAATCCATAACAGAAATGTGGGAAGGCGGTCATCTTCAATTAGTGCTAAGAAACGATCTTTATCCCCAGTTTCGGGATCAGAAAGTAGTTCGTCTTCATTGTCAAATTGGTCGAGATCTTCTAAAGGAAATGGTGAAAGTGAAAGTGGAAAACAGAAAATTAAGGCACCAAATGTGAGACTGACCCCCAATGTGAGTAATTGTGAGAATTCTATCATGAATTCAGTGCCCGCAAAAATCCCGAACCCAGTTTGGAGCATTAGTGATATCGCGTCGGCAATTGTTCGAAAGGTGAGACCAGATTAAATTTGAATTATTTTACTCGAAACTTTCATTATTAAGTTATTCGCAAATGGTTTCCAGAAAAGAAATATATTGACTAAAAAAACTTTCCCTCTCTACTGAAAAAGTTGAAATATTTGATTCCATTTAATTAAACTTTCATGAAATGAAAGCGAGATTTTCATTGAACTAAGAGATGTTTTCTGTCTTTCATGTCAAATAATTGTAATTTGTTGCTGGACTTGTAGAAACTTATTCCTATTTAAACTATAGTAAAGTATTTGGTTCTTTGTATAAAGGAGAATTACCTACTTAATTTAAACACAAAATATCGGATTCATCAAATCTCAATGCATATGTCAATTTCAATTTTGTTCTTTTTGTCGACAAGTTCTATTTGATAAACTTTGGAAAACTGTATATTTCGAAAACAGCATAAACTCATGATTTCGTAGATTATTCAGTCAGTCTTACCCTTGTCTGGCTCATTTTTTCAAAACCTCTCGCCCACCCGTTTAAACCATTAATAAATTTAATATAGAAAATATGACAAACTTAAGCGCCGAAAATTAATTACTTATTTTTGTTGAGTTACTGATATATTGCATTAAAAGATAAAACATGATGGTAGGAAAATTTTCGGTTTTTTAGTGTTGGTGAAAGATACATCTTAACATGGTCACCCATGTCTCAGGAAATGCACGAAAAATTTCATTGTAAAGTCTTGATTACACTCTGAAATGGAGTGGGAGGGGAGTTAATCAGCCTTCCAGCCTCGTCCCACACCAACCAGTCTTCTTATCTGCCTTAGAAAATGCATCATTCCAAATTTTAAATGATACCCACAGACCCCGAGGTGATACACATTTCGAGTAATTATAAAACTAGTCAATCACTTTCGTCCCCTTTCCTTGACTAGAGAACCTCTCAAACGTGCTTTGGTTTTTGTCAATAATTTCGAAAGTAGGTTTGGCAGTGTGCATTTAGAAATTCTTGTTAGGAAAAATTCATATTATTAACGCTAAAAATCAGGTTTAATTGGTGTACTAAAACTATTTAAAGAAATTTTCGAGGAGACATTTTACATCTGTCACTCCGAGTCATGATTAATGCTCATTTGCCCAAACTGGGGAGCGGAGAGAACGGAGAAGATGCATTTGTGTTTAGCAAAGGATGAAGAAGGAGAAAGTTAACTCGGATTTTCATAGATAACGCACCAACCAATAAACCCTTGACCAACCTCTTGACATTTTTAAGGGTTTAGGTCCCCCTCATTTATTTTCCTACGAGAATTACTTCCCTTAACTAGTGAAACTCTAGTCTAAAGTTGAGATGAGCCCCGCATGGAAATCGTTGATTCATGGAAATTTTAATATATTCAGCCTTAATCCCCTTCACAAAATCTGGAGGAGAAACTTAACAAAACTGATGAGATTTATGGGTCCTCGCTATGTACCAATTGTACCATACATTTTCATTTGCCGAGATGATGATGTGGGTGACAAAAATGTGATTGAACTTTTCACAGATTTTTAAGTTTTTTTGCTGATCGGCTTGGATGTGTGTGATAGAGTGAAGCAATTCCTATTTCCTGCATATTTTACAAAAAGGGGCCTTCTACATGCTCATTTGCATCTGAATCATGAATAATCCTAAGAAAGAAGATATCGTATCTGCAACCTGCATTCTCTATTTACAAAGGTAGAAAATTTATCTGATAACAGTATTGGGGTAGGGGATAGTTAAAAGTATTCAGGATTTACATATAGATACATCGAATGAAATCCTTGTGTAAATTTTGCAAAAAAATTATTCTGCATACTTTCGACAATGAAGATTTTCCAGATTGAATCTGTAAATTTTATTAATTTTTTATATTGATCAAACTAGATTTACAAATTCAAATCAATTTGAGCAGTTTATTGTCGTCCCATCCACAACTCAAGTGAGCGACTATTCCATACCTGTTTTTCATGATCACTTGAAATTGAATAGGAATTGTATAGAAATAAGCCATCGTCAAAATTTTATTTTTCATCATTTTCAACAAAGCAAACAAAAAGGGGAGTTTGTGGAGTAGATCTTAAATCATAATATAATCCACCCACTTTACCGTCATGTTATGATGAAGAGGATGAAGAGATAAGATTTCGAGACAAATCCGTCGTGTCAGAATAAATAAACCTCTTGTTGAGTCTTCTCTCTCTCACTTTCTTCGTGATTGGCAGTCGTTTTCGGAGTAGTGAGCACATTTTTATTCGTTTCCTTCTCATCTGAAACCGCAAACCATTGTCTCGTCAAGTTGTGATGGTGGCGGTTCTGGGCATGTGACAAATGGAGCCATGAGTTTGTTAACTGAAAAGTGAATAATGCAGCTTTCACTTTGTGAGAATGGCTCACTTTCCACGTGCACGAAGAAAGAGGGAGGGTGAGATATGTCGGAGGAGATGATGATGAACTGACGGATAACTTATGATCTGCTGCTGCCTCTGCTGCAACTTGAGATAAGAAATAGCACGCAAATCCCTGCAAACACCTGTAGTGATAAAAAATGTCCTGTTTTTAGACCTGTTACGTCACAGGCGATAAGTCACCGAATTCTATATACATTTATTCTTTAATTTTAAATCTCGTTGCATGCATATTAAAAAGTAGATCACTAATTGCTCGAATAATTTTTTTTCTGTATCATATCTAATCAATGCTAACGAAACATCAATATTTATGGATCGATTGTTACCCACTAAATTAAACTTGATTCAATTTTTTCAAAAATTACTGTTTTCTATGTAGCAAAAACCCATTTAAGACTAAAGTACATAGTCCAATACGATTAGGCCATAATACGGAATTTCTAGCAGGTCAAATAATACGGTACGGTAACGGTCCAAAATTAAACGGAAGAGACCAGGAGAGCGGATTCGTTTTATTATTTCTTCGTCATTTTCCTTCCCTCATAATTACCCTGCAGTGGCAGCACTACAGATATTGCACTCATACACGATTCTTATACTACTTTATAAAACTGTGCGTGATGATGTTAGCTGGATTTATTTTCTCTGAAATATAAGGGAAACCAGCTAGTAATACGCAATGGCAGTCGCGTAATGTGGTATAATGAAGATGAGAAGTTTTTATGGCTCATCATTATAAGATAAGTCCTTATCTCCTTCATTTCTTGGAGAAAGTACCGCTCATCTTTATCCAGTCGCTCGGATATGGCGTTACATACTTAAGAAAGTGGTGCTTGAGGAACACACAGCAATTACTTACTTTCTCGTAATAAGATAATCGTTAACTCATTTCTAGATTTCATGAGTAGTCGGTGTAATGATTCGGGATTCTATGCAGTAGTGGTTTTCAGAAATTGGGGGCATTTAGAAACTTTTGGTTTACAAACATTATTTACTATTTTACGTTCTAGAGGAACACTCAACCCTCGGACACCTCTCGAAAGAACAATAAATTGAATGGACAAGGGACGAAGAAAACGAAACAAGAAACCCAGAAATCAAATCAAATTTGTCATGAAATTGGAGAACAAATCGAGGCTAATCTGGACAGTGCGAGCTGCTGTTCATCTTCGAGTAGCAAGGTGAGTGAGAATCCATTTTAAATACCAATGTGTTATTTTCATGCTTCTTCATCAAAACAATATATCGTCGTTTCGATATAAAGTTACTCAGTTACTAAAGAAAAGACTGCCTGAACAATTGTTCGAATTCGATATCGAACAACTATACTGATAGTTATAACAAAATAGAATTAAATCTGTGTTTATAATTGTTTTCGGTCGAATGAAGTGACTGTTTTTAATCTATAATAATCATCAGAGTAAAATTCGATTGTTCAGAGGCTTCCTTGCTCAGAAGTGTGAGAGGCACGATTCTTTCACTTATTGGGGATTCCTGGGTATGTGGAAGATGGTATTTTAACTAAATGAGTTTCCCCTTGATCTCTTTAATGAAAAAGCGTAGTGATGAGTTGGAATAAGAAATTTTGAATGCAATTAAAAATCCAGAGGTGGGGATTTACCCTCCCAGCATGACACGGCAAGTTTCATTAAAAATGAAAGTGAAAGTTATTCAAGGTCTGGGAGACAAGATGTTTGCTATTCCATTTGAAGGTGAAATTATGTCGTGTCATGCGATGGTACGGAAATATTCTGTAAAATCTTATACCTTTACAATATTTAAGAATTTTGTGAAAGTACACATAATTTAAGGACAAATACTTCGTCATTGCTCTATTCGTGAGGTTTTTTTCATTGAGTGAAATTTCTCGTAGGATATCGCACGAAAAAAATGGATGTGCATTATTTTCTCTTCTCAAAAATTGCCAATTTTCTTAACGATGTCCAACATTATCCCCGTGTGACAAGTTGTTTTTGCTATTGAATGAGACAAGAGAGAAATCAATCGCATTATGGCGTTTTCACATCTAGGACGACTCTGGAACCCTTACAAATTTTGGAGTGGTCACTATTTCTATCTCGTAGCGTCCCCAATAAAACTTTAGACATTTAAAAATATGGCATATACTTCTGAATGTGAATGCATTTCGGGTTAGCAAACTTATTAAGACTTATGGAAACAGGAGGCGAGGAGATAATATCTAAATTCGAGTATCAAATATTGAACAGTCCAGCACGAAGGTGTCGAATAAATCATAAATTCTTCCCCTTCGTCGCTCCTTCATCTTTGGTAAAGTGCGTCCTCAAGTGCTTAGCGAGGTCATAAAAGTAAGTGGATGTCGACCCCCTTCGATATTCCAATGGCCAAAATCCTTCAACCCTTTCGTTCCCAAGATCTATTTTTGCTAGTGGCGGAAAACTCTTTGACTCCTGGAAATGGAGTGGTGCAGCTCCTTCCGTATTTTATGCTCTTTCTCCTCTCTCCTGTTTCTTGCCTTAATCGGATGAAGTTCATCTAGCTGGGCGGTTCCTCCTCATGATTATCCAATGTGCAAAGTTAAGCGGAACCACCATCCGAATAGTAGACAGCTTAATTACCATCGCAGCCTCGCCATTAACTTTTAATGTGCTATTCAGATTTCCTCTCCCCTTCATCACCAACCACTGCAATTAATGGATGAGGTGTGGTGAGACAAATCCTTGAGATAAGACGAGAGCGTTAAAGGGCACCGGAATTTTCGAATGAAGTGCATATCGCATAGAAGAGAATGAAAATAATAGTATTTAACTACATACATAGTATCTAACCCCGTAGGGTTTTAGGTGTCAAGGAATACGAGAAAGGAAGTTATAACTGTTGAAAGGTCAACTGCTGATACTGCCCTGCTCTTGATGAAATTGGAATCTAAATAAAAATATCTTTTTGATGAATTTTGATGTATTCAACTGTGTAAAAATGAATTATATGTAAATTAGTCAAAAAATCTAATAATGTAACAAGTTTCAACGTTGGTCAATCCACAACTCTGACGAAATCGTCATATTATAATATGACGATTTCGTCAGAGTTTGAAGCTGAATCTGAATTTGAATAGCTATTCAAATTCAGATGGAAAATTTGGAAATGGAATGTATTTCCCCAGAGCGAAGGGAATCCCGAGGGAGAAAACTGAGAGGGATGGGAAGAAAAGGAATATATTTTTGAAGTTCCGACATCTCGATGACCACCACATTTTGAATATTTTTAGTATTGTCCACTCCGCCATTTCTTTCGTCGGGCTCATCCTTGACCACAATGAAACCAATACATTGAATTTCTGAATTTTGTAAATTAAAAGTCGGTTTTTTAGTATTACATTTTATCAGCGATGGAATTTATCGTAGATCTTGTGAGTAATCCTAAGATTTCCACCCAAAACAAATATTCACTGGAATAAATATACAGCACTATTTCCTTTCTTCCTTCCTCATCTTTTGCTGACCCATGCATCCACCCGGAGGAAGAGAAAGTGGACAAAAGAGGGAAAGTAGAGATAACTGGGTTTGGTTTCTCGTAAATCTTGTCCCTCTCAAAATGACGATAATTGAGCAACTATGTCTCAGGAAGAAGGGGACGAATTGTTAGATTTCTTCGGAATCCACATTGTTGCGTTTCGGCAGACGGGCCAACAGGAGCATAAGTAAACTAACCAGTTGTCGTATCATTCGAATGTGAGTTTGTCCGAGTTGTGTCACTTTGTCAAACATGATCAGAAAACAGAAAGTTGACACAAAACGACGACTGACCACTGGGAAATCGCGACATTTACGAAACATGTTCAATTCTACAGTTTTAGTGTAAATACTAACGGATTTCATATGTCAAACAAGTCTGTAGAGTGCTTTCTATGTCGACCAGTGGTACCTCAGGCTGTATTTACGAAGGATGCGTGTAAGTAAAAAAGTACATGAATATCCAATCCTTCCATGTAACCACCCTCTTGCGAATGAGGGAAATGTTGTAGAGTCGTTTTCTTACGAAGGAGAAAGCATCAAAAGGGTTACAGCCTCCCTCGCCATCAGAATTCCGTGTTCTTTGTGTTCTTTTTATCCTAATGGAATCATGAAGTCAGCCCTATTCGAGTTATTTGTCCAGATATGGACAAGTGACGTGAAATATTACAGAGATTATCTCTTCTTTCGGGTTAGTATTACAACACGAAAGATTATCAAGGTGTGTTTTGTGGGCAAGGTGAGACTTGCTGATATATTTTGCCGATAAAGAAAATTATTAATTTGTAATAAGCAGACTGTAATTTTTAACGATCAATCATTTGAATCAGTTGATAGTCCTAATTTCATTGGAGAATTAAGAACATGAAATTATGAAGGTTTTTTTTACTATAATATTACAAGTCATTGTATTCAACTTATGGGCAATCGAATAAGATGAAACTCAGCATTTTCCCCAATTTAATTAGTTATGGCCATCCCTAGAGAACATTATTACAAGTGCCCATTTTTCTTTCCCCTCATACATCGTACTTGCCGAATAGTCGAAGAACTGCAATTATGCTTTTATTGCTACCAATTTGCTCGAGCAATGAATGATGAATGCTAACGTTGAATTAACTTTTTGGAAATTCTCAATACTACTGTTTGTACCTCATGAACCTGCAATGATTTTCCTTTTTGGAAACTCCGAGTATAATTCCTGGGACACAGATTCTTCATTACCTGATTCCATTCGAAAGACAAACAATTAGATAAAGACGTGGCTGTTGTACTTCAATTAAGCTATTTCTACGCTTTGAATTGTCTACCAACTGCCAAGAGATAATAATTATTTGTTGGATAAAGACAGATGAGCAATGCACAACCTTAAGTCTAACCATAAGAGAGCGAAGAATTAGCTTTGACGTGATATGAACTAACATGACGTGAGAATGGCACGTACGTCAGTCCTTCGTTCACTTCCCCTTCCCAAGAAAGTAAGCAGCAGGGAACATCTTTCTCTTGTTCACATGAATAAGAAAGTAAGATGCAAAATGCAAGGTTCACGGTTGGATGTTCCTCGAGAAGAAATAGAAATCTAGTGATACAAATGTGGAACTTTATTTTGTTATTGCGTGTTAATGATATTTACTTCGGAGCAGTATGAAAGAAAACCCTAATTTTGAATTTCATCTTACACCATCTTTGTCCCCTGAAAGCAAAGCATTTTCAAAATTGGTTTAATTTTCTATGAATGGTTTTCACCTCCTGCATCAGGTTTTAAACTTGTCCATAAAATTGGTGAATGTTAAGGTTCTCGAGGGTTTTTATACGTACACCACATTGAAGCGTGCAGATTATGGCGTGTACGAGTTGTTATATAATCCTAAAACAGGGTTACGATTTGTCGCAAATGTAGTAAATTGTTTTCTATGGGGCCAAAGGGTACTAAAACATGTGACCGTTTGGGGAGAAAACGTGCCCAGAATTCCGAGTGGTTCCATAAAATAAAAGTACGGAACCGATAAAAAGCGCAGACATAAACTTACTTAACCTTTTCGTCACCTTGTTCTGTTTATTGATCGGTATTATGTAATAGACTATGTACGTTTACATGAGCGGCACGTGCCCCGAAAGGTTTACGCTAATTTTACAATTTTATATATTTTGTAGATTTAGTGTCTCATATCGAAGTACCGCAGACTTAAATTTTTTCTTGTTATTGAAGTCGACCTTGGGTCATTAGTATTTTTCTTTTATAGGTCGCGTACATATTCTTTGATTCAAATCTTCATACTCATTCCAATCTGATACAAAATACAAACACGTTTCCTTATTAAACAATAAAACTTAATTGTTATTTCCAAAGTTTTTAAGTGCGGCTACTGCTGGTTCTGAACTTGCATGAAAACCACCACTCTGTTCAGAACTTTCTCCAGCATGGAATCTATATAACCAACGCCAATGTCATCATCCCCATTAGGGATGATGACATTGACGTTGGGGAATTAACGTGAGACTCCATGAGTCAAAGCCTACGTCATAACAATGACGTCATAACCCCAAAAATCAGCACATTTTTAATTATTTCTCAGCTACCAGGAGGAATTTGAAAATTCTGTCCATTGATATTATAGATAATATTGTTGTTGTCCTACTCGAAGAAGAAATTCAATATTTCAGTGGTTTTTGAAAGCTGAGGTACAAAA